CCCCTCACAGATTCATCTGTAAGTCTGACAGCACCCACAACGTCCGTCGCTGGTACATGGAGGTCCCAACCCTTCACGCCACCCATCACCTCCAGGGGGATGACGACACGGACAAGGGGATGTTCACAGAGCTCCGGTCAAAGGTCGACAACATTGAGGTGCGCATGAGTGAGCAGATGCAGCAGTTGAGGACGAGTGTGGAGGAGGTACATAGCGCTCTGAGAGCTGTAGAGAGGGCGCTGGACGGGAAGCCAAGGGCTCAGGCTGCCACAGAAGTGGGGAAAGAACAGAAGACGTAGTAGTTCATTGATATGTGTGTTATATTTTTCGAGAAGCCGCGGGCTCAAGGTGTCACAGAAGTGGGGAAAGAACAGAAAACGTACTAGTGAAATAATATATGTTTCGAACATTTTGAGAAGTATCAGTCTCAGGCTACCACAGAAGAGGGGAAAGAACAGAAGACGCAGTAGTTAATTGATATGTGTGTTATATTTTCCGAGAAGCCGCAGGCTCAAGGTGTCACAGAAATGGGGAAAGAACAGAAAACGTACTAGTGAAATAAAATATATGTATCGAACCTTCTGAGAAGTATCAGTCTCAGACTACCACAGAAGAGGGGAAAGAACAGAAGACGCAGTAGCTGAATGTGTAGCAAGATGGAAGCAGCTGCACAACTCTCCTCAAGGCGGGAAGTGAACATTGGACGGAATGCCGCGGTGTCAGACTGCCACAGAAGTGGGGAAAGAGCAGAAGGAGCAGTAGTTAAATGATGTGTTTCAAAGTGGCAGCAGTTGCACAGCACTATAAGGGCCGTGATGCGAACACTTTACGAAATGTTGCTATCTCAGGGTACCACATAAGTGGGGAAAAACAGAAGGCGTGGTAGTGAATTGTATCAAGATGACAGCAGCCGTGCATGCTCCAAAGCAATTATTCGTTTTTTAATAGTTTGATTTTAGTAAGAGCTTCACCGCACAATTAGGTCATAAAGGCGCCGAAGAAGAGAGAGTAACAAACATGAAAAAGAGGGAGCGGAGATAAGGACGATAGATATTTGACAAGGAAGAAGGAGCAAACCAAACCAGAGCCCCCGCCAACCTCCCACAACATATTCATTTATCATTACTGCTTTGAGATAGCTATCTTCTCCATAATACCCAGATGGCGGCGAACGTTGCTGAAATCTCACGATCATATTATTGTAAAATTAGACCTGGATCCTTTCAGGTTCATGTTATTGGATGTCTTCCCTGAAAGTCGTTGTTTGTTAGGGG